ATCTGTGGGAAGAATGCCGGTCTAAGCAGCAGCTCACTCAAGCTTCATTTGCAGAAAGCACACAAGTGGCTCTCATCAGGCAGTGTGGACAGTGCAATGACAATGGAAATACAAAAGGCTGTTGAGGCACTCAAAATAAGCCGCAGTTGAAGTATCAGCCCCACACAGATACAGTCTCATTCAGTTATGGATGTGTAGAACTAGCAAGTTCAGTTAGTGCAAAGGAAGTAAACTGGGAAATTGTTAGTTCTTATTCAGTATCAAAATCTGACATTTTAGGTAACTTTTTTTATCCCTTCTTCTTTTACCACAATCTTGGAAAAATCTTGAGCTGAAGACAGTGAACCTTAGCAAGTTGATAGTTAAATGTGATTGTTCCATAGCATGACTTTGTAGATGTTGTAGATAGCTATTTGCAATGACTAATAAGAGGATTTGTTGTAATGACCAAAGCATTTGCTTTTTGTTTGTGTAGATTTGGGAATGCTTACAGCAGTTTGTTTTAAACACAAAGGCATTATGAATAAATATGAAATTGTTTTAAGTGGATGGATAGCAGATTTTTGTTTTTTTTTTTAGTGATCAAAAGTTTCGTCCTGAAGGTGGAATACATGCATCTAGTCTGGGTTTACGGCTCATCAAGAGAGTGTGGTTGCTGTGTTTCAGTTTGAAGAGTTTAAACCTTTAAGTTGAAAACCAAGTTTCAAACTTTAGAACGGGAGAGAATTATTTTTCGTTTTCTATGATCATATCCTATCACATTACCTAAAATCAAACCATTTTTATTATGTATTAAAATTTCAAATTAACCTAAAATACTCTCAACCTGATTCTTAAATTTTTAAGTGTCACATATAATCTTAGAACCGTCATTTTGAACGCTTGAATGAAAAATAAGGAAAACAACCTTGTCCATAGATTGCCTGCGTTGTTATTTAAAAAGTAATGACTCTTGAAATGAAATTCTTTCAAGTATTGATTATGTGAGCTTATATAAGACTCACCACAATTAGTAATTACTATAATCTCTTCCTAAAAGTCAGTACTAAAAGTTTAGAAATCTGGTCTCATAGACATTATTATCTTTGAAAGAACACAATTTTCAAAAAGGAAAAAAAAAATTCTTTTAGAAGGAATAAAGTCAAGGGTGTCCAAAATTTTCAAATGAATCTAACTCATTTTGCATGATATTCAGGAGTAACCCATTTCTGCACGAGGGAAAGGAGGAAAGGATAGGCACAATAACATAAAATTTAATTCCAACAGCTTAATCGTACAGCCTTCTTTTATTAGAACGAAGCGTATCCGCCAACAAACCTAGTGCTATAAGCATTCTATATCTTTGCATGCCATTCATAGATAATAACAATTCATTCTCAAAGAACAACCAGCAAGCAATCATTGGCATTCAATTCTACTTTAAGGCATCAGTTTCCTCGAATGATAGTGAAAGAACTAAAACTATCTATATCCCACTTCAAATGAAAGGTACAAACATGGTCAGAAAAAAATTGCATTACACAGGAAGTGGGTCAGCCAATGTCTCTGAAGCGCCGCTGCTGCCATTGAGAACAGTAACATTTCCATCAGAGTCGACGTCAACAATTACTGAATCCCCCTCTTTTATTTCTCTAGCAAGCATTTTTTCTGCCATGCTGTCCTCCAAGAGTCTCATAATGGCTCTTCTCAACGGCCTAGCACCATAGCTAGGATTGTATCCTTCATCTACCACCCTGTCCTTGAACCTCTCTGTCACTTGAAGCTCAATATCTTTGGCCTTGAGCCTCTCAAATATTTCCTTGAGCATAATGTCAGCAATCTCCTTCACCTCAAGCTTGGTGAGCTGACGGAAAACAATCATTTCATCCAATCTATTCAAGAACTCTGGTCTGAAATATCGCTTCAGTTCCTCTAACACCAGACTCTTAATTCTATTATAACTGCTATCCTCCTCATCATCCAAATAAAATCCTAACCGTCTTCCTCCCTTCTCAATAACACTGCTCCCAACATTTGATGTCATTATCAGAAGGGTATTCTTGAAGTCTACGGTTCTTCCTTTGCTGTCTGTCAACCTACCATCCTCGAGTATCTGAAGCATCATGTTAAAGACATCAGGGTGGGCCTTCTCAATCTCATCAAAAAGAACCACTGTATAAGGACGGCGTCTAACAGCCTCAGTCAGCTGACCACCCTCAGTATAGCCTACATAACCAGGGGGGGAACCAATGAGCTTGGAGACTGTATGTCTTTCCATGAACTCACTCATGTCAAGTCGGATCATCGCTTCTTCTGAGCCAAAATAATAAGCAGCAAGTGCTTTTGCAAGTTCTGACTTTCCTACACCAGTTGGTCCAGAAAAGATGAAGCTAGCAATAGGTCGATTAGGGTTCTTCAACCCCACACGAGCACGCCGAATAGCACGGCTGATGGCTTCGACAGCTTCATCCTGGCCAATGACTCGCTTATGAAGGGTCTCTTCCATCTTGAGGAGGCGATCAGATTCATCACTGGATACTTTCTCAACGGGAATACCAGTCCAAGCGCAGACTATATGCTGAATGTCCGCTTCTGTCACAACTGCACCTCCATCCCCTGCCTCCGCCTCAGCCTTAGTCACCTCCTTGTTTTTCATTTGGATAGCATCAATCTGAGTCCTGAGCTCAATTTCTCGATCACGCAACTCACCCGCCTGTCCAAAAGCATGTGTTGTTAAGTTGTTAATTATGAGAATTATTAATAAAAAAAAATTGGAAAATTAACAAGAATGATGCAGTTCCAACTTAAAAGATTTACGGGAAAAAAAAAAAAAGTTTTCAGTTATCAAAAAAGTTTGCATATCTTCACCAAACACTATAACGTAGGGACTTGGAAATAATCATGATAAAAAATCGATCAGCTGATACAGGTATCAATATTACAGTCGTCAACATCATATAAAACTCCTAATAATATTAGAGACTTCCATACCTTCTCAAAGTCTTGGCCACGAACAGCTTCGTTCTTTGATTTAGTGATCTGCCTGAGCTCTTTTTCAAGCTCTCTAGCCTCCTCAGGGAGCTGCAATAAAAGTTGTATTAGAGAAATTAAAAAGAAGCAGAAGGTGGCATTGCCAATCAAAAGAAGGGGAAGGTAGCATTACAGAAAATCAGAAATACAATCTCATACCTGTGCATGACGAAGCCGAACACGAGAACCAGCTTCATCAATCAAGTCAATTGCTTTGTCAGGAAGAAATCGATCACTAAAGCACAAAAAAGGATTTATGGTAAATAAAGCAAGGTAAAAAATGAACCAAAACAAGTGAGGAGAAATACAGCATTTTGCAAGCATGTGACAAAAATGATACATAACAGGAATGACTTTGATCAATCATCTCAATACTGACTAGTCACAAGAGAAAAAAATCAGTCATTTTGTTGTTTCCTAAAAGCATCAGCCAAGGACATAATTATCCCCTTGATAAACAATTTGCACTTAAATGTCATCTTTGATGCTGCTCCTATTTTTTTTTTCAAGTCCCAGAGGAGGAGTTCTCAGGCAAGTCTCCTTCAAAGCATGCATGTAGATGCAAGCACATACAGGCTCTCTCTCTCACACACATGAATATGATAAAAAATGAGCTTCTTGCAACCTTGAAAGCCTATACCCTATAGCATTAGTCCAGTAATATTATATACAAATTTACCAGAGAAACAAACATGACAAAGCTAGAAATTTAGTTATTCAATACCTGATGTACTGGTATGAAAGCCTTGCAGCAGCTTCTAGCGCTTCATCTGTATAACGTAGCTTGTGGTGAATTTCATAACGCTCCCGCAGACCTCTCAAAATTTGAATAGCCTCTTCTACAGATGGTTCAGGCACTTTGACAGGCTGGAAACGCCTTTCCAAGGCTGGGTCTTTCTCGATGTGCTTTCTGTACTCATCCAACGTAGTAGCTCCAATACACTGCAAAAGTTGAAATTAAAAACCTTAAGCACAAAAAAACCCCCTTTAATCATGGTAGAGATAGATGAATAAGTTACATGTAACACGATTCAATTTCCACCATGCAGCCACAGAAAACCCAGACTAGACTTACAAACAAGAATGGAATTTCAATTGTACTCCCCTTGTTTGTTATGTAAATATAAAGAAGTAAATACCTGCAGTTCACCTCTTGCGAGGGCTGGCTTCAAGATATTAGCAGCATCAATTGCTCCTTCAGCAGCACCAGCACCAATTAAAGTGTGCACCTCATCAATAAACAAAATAATTTCATCACTTTGTTTGATTTCCTCCATCAACTTCTTCAATCTTTCCTCAAATTCTCCCCGGTATTTTGTTCCAGCAACCAGAAGACCCATATCAAGCGTTATAACCTACAAAGAAAATAATCATACAATTACACTGCCACATTGCTCTCTTTTCAAAAACAAAAAATTCTGTTATAGAGAAGGAAATTGGAAAGAGGCCAAGAAACTGTTAGAAGCATTGTATGATCAAGGAGAATAAGATTTTAGCTATTGACAATTACAAGAATCACACTTAAGCGTCCTCAATTTGATGAAAGCTATAAAACTCTACACATAAAAATTACTGATTCTCCAACATATTTATATCAATTTATAAGTAATTGTTTGACCAAAGATATGGTTGCATTCTTCACGCAGATATACGAGTTTGGCATAAGTAATTCCTAGACAAATATTTATTTTGAATATAAGAGCTACAACTAAAATCTAAAACCTAAACTTTACAAGTAGAAGAAAAATGGCCATCAATCACAATCCACATTGATAAGATTAAAGCGTAAAATGGCTAGATGAACAATACCCACCTTCTTTCCCTCAATTGTCTCAGGAACATCACCACTAGCAATACGTTGAGCAAGACCTTCGGCAATTGCTGTTTTTCCCACACCAGGTTCCCCAATAAGACATGGATTGTTTTTAGTCCGCCTGCCCAAAATTTGGATAACACGTTCTATTTGTGTCTGCCTCCCAACAACAGGATCCAATTTACCCTGAAATGGAAGAAAATTTGGTTTAAAAATATGAAAAAAACTCAGACATATACAAAGAGGAAAACAATCACATTACCTCCTCAGCTAGTTTTGTCAAATTAGTTCCGTATTCCTCCAGTGTTGGCATCTTATTGCTACTGGTTGATCCTCCAGGAACAACACCAACTTCATTACCCTCACCAACCATGCGAATAACCTGCTCTCCAACAGAAGAATAGTTAATCACAAAACCTTACAGTAAGAAACTTCAAACAAAATCAAGTTGGCATGCATAGAGTGAGATGCACTCCTTACCTGTGTGCGGATATTACTAGGGTCAGCCCCTAAATTCTCAAGAACACGAGCAGCCACACCTTCACCTTCACGAAGGAGCCCCAGAAGAAGATGCTCTGATCCAATATAATTATGTCCTGAAATTTTCATGAAATACAGATATTTCAGTTAATGAAAACAATTTATCACTTCAAAAATTATGTGAATACATTGTAAGGCAGTACGAATCAAATATTTATATAAAAGTTATAGGACTACATTAATAGAATCCAGATATCCCAGCACCAGTAAGAAAATGATATAAGAAAAAAGTTCCTTCTCATAAGCATGCCCTCTGAGATTGAATAGTGGGACACATAAAAATACTTAAGAGCAGCAAAAATGAAGAGTGAGAAAACAGGAAAAACGAAAAAGAAAATGCCTTTTTTAATGCTATATAGACGTAAAAAGCCATTTCAGCTGTGAATATTACCAAGTTGACGGGCTTCCTCCAATGAGAGCTCCAGCACACGTTTTGCACGTGGGGTGAAAGGAATCTCCACAGCAACAAACCCACTCCCCCGTCCAATTATCTTCTCCACTTCCACTCGTGCATCTTTGAGATTAATGCCCATAGATTTAAGAACTTTTGCAGCAATACCAGTACCTTCACCTATAAGACCCAACAGAATTTGCTCCGTGCCAACAAAATTGTGGCCCAGCCGTCTTGCTTCCTCTTGGGCAAGCATAATTACTTTAATAGCTTTTTCCGTGAAGCGCTCAAACATAGCTTTAGTTACAAACCGGCTAGCCCTTCCACGGCGGGAAGAGATTGAACCTGCAACCTTTGAACGGAAATCTTGCCCACCTCTAAGAATGTTATCTAAGGAATTGGCACCTCGCAAACCAGAACAACTCCTTATTCTCAATCCACTTGATGGCAGAGCTGCCATTGTTATAACCGACCTTCGGTGTTTTCCTGATTGTTGAGGTCCATGCCTTCGACTAGGAAATAGAGCAGGGGAAATAGTTGACTGAGCCAGGGCCATAACTCCTTTGAAGTCTGCATTTAATGATGACAACCGTTAGTAGGAATAGATGCATGTGAAATAAAAGAAATGAAGAGATGTGACCTTCCTAGACCACAATATTTCAGAAGCAAGAGTCAAACATGCACATTGGACATCAATGCCACTAAATCATCAAACTACAGTCAGCAAAGAACACAAAAACACATCACAACAAAGTAAAATATATCTTAAAATGAACTTGATTCTACGTACTTAAGGGAAATCCCCACCAACAGGAGCAGGGAATTCCACTCTACAATCACATCCTTTTTTCCGCAGAAATCTAAATGTTAAATATTTCCAAAACTCAATGAAATTCAAAAACAGATTTTAATATGATAACATTTTCTTTTACCACTGAGATTCCATATAAAGAAATCATCATAAAGCTGTGCAAAATTCATAAAAACCTACACACCAAGCTAAAATTCGTCCCAGCCTTGAACCACCAAAACTGTGAAAACAAACAACAATGTAGCAAGCATTTGGCAGGAACATTAACAACCGCACCAAGGAAAACAACTCAAACCAACCATCAGATTTCCCAAATCCCAAGCAAATATAAAAACAAAAAAATAATAATAATAACATAGCAGCAAATGAAAAAAGGGGTTGGAAGAGTGGATAAAGAAAATGGAAAAACCATAAAGATTAGGGTAAGGAATTAAACAACCAATCATCTTTGGTGGTCAGGCGAGCACTTTCAACTTTCAATCATCCATTCCAATCATAGCAAACATTCAACTCAAATCAACAAAAGTCAAACATTCCCCACAAACAACACAAATCGAAAACACAGAAAGGTTCAAAAGCCAATCTAAAACCCTAATTCAACTTTTCAACAACAGAGCATTCACCAAACAACAAAAGAACGAGCTTAAAACCCTAAAAATTTCACCTTTGCAATAAAGAACCAATTCCGATACTCACCTAAATCAACAAAAAAAAAAAAACCCAAGTTTCAATCCCGAAAACTGAAGGGAAAAATGGAAGAAAGGGGCGACCTTTGTCGACCGGCGAAGAGCAGACAAAGAAGAAGAAGAAGAGGAAGGTCGGCCGAAGGGAATAGGTACGTGTTAAAGGCCGATAAGAAACGGCGTTCCGTCTCCTCTCTCCCTTCTTCATTTACCCAAAGCTGTATCCGGTACGCGACACTCCATCACCGACTCTGGACACTCTGTCCTCGCTGGCGTTTCACTCGCCGTTCGATTCAGACGACATCGCACTTTTTCCTAAGATCATGACACGTGGCGTTCTGTAGTTGAATGATCAAAGGTTTTGCAGGACCCACAGGCCTCATCTACAAGTCAAAAGTATTCTGAATTCCTGTCCTGTCCCTAGATATTTATGTAGGGTGACCAATTTGTCCTTTTACGGTTTTCCCTCATAGGCGGCAAAACGTCGCTGTAGCACAGAAGCGTATACGGGACTTCCATGTTGGGAATTAGATATTTTTCTCTCTTTTTTTTTTTTTTAATTTTTGGTTTTTCCTAATTTTGGTGAGATTTTTATTTTATTTTATTTTTTGTGTTTGTGTGTAAATGGAAAAAAAAGAAGGCTAATTGGTTGAGGGCTTAAACGAAAGGAGAAATGTAGAAAGTAGGGCCTCTCATTATTTGGGAAATTCCCAAATAATGGGATGTTTTGTGGAACTAGAAAGTAGAAACTAAAAATATCAATTCCATTGAAGCGGCAGCCTCTGCCATGTAAGGGGTGTTTGCTTTACTTCCCTAAGAAAGACTCTCGATTTTGAAAAGATATTTTACTATTTATATGAAATTATAATAAATAACAAATAAAAGTAATATTTTTAATATA